TTTATATATATATATATATGATATTTTTATATATAATATATATATGATTTATATATATATATATATATATATATGTGTGTGTGTGAGTGATGCTTGCATATTTGTGTATGTCTGTGCGACATAATCACATCCACCTACGATTGCGTAGTCTATCTACGCTTCTTCAGTATGTTTTTATGGTGCTTATTGTAGCCTCATCCCGGAATCACAGACTCGGATCTGAAGCGGTACCCGCCAGCTCTATCATACAAAGATGCCAACCGTATGTACAAAGAAATGGGCGCGACTTTTCCGTTCGAGGATCCGGAACAACCAACAGGTTTGTGTGTGTGTCTGGCTGGGTGTCTCCCTCTCTCTGTGTGCGTGTGTGTGTGTGTGTGTGTGTATGTGTAGGACAAATCTTTGCTTTTGTTCTGTCACATTGTAGTTTAGTTATTAGAATGCTTAGTGACAGTTATATGGCAATATCTTCAAATTATTGCCATTCCAATCCTGACCAATTTTTCGATAATCCCGTTTTGCACAGCGACAGTATTGTAACGTCATACCAAGATCGGTATAATCCTGATTTTTTCTTTTTTGTCTTTGTTTCTTTCTTCAAAATCTTCCCAAAACCCCGATTCGCCCTTTTCCTTCCCTTTTTTATTGTTCGTTCTCATAATTTTTTAATTTTTAATTTTTGGCTCCGAATTTTCTGCAGCGAATATGGCGTACCATTGGATGCGCCTGTACGAAGTTAAGACACGAGTCTATGAACTGGGACAGAAACGCATGCACGTAGACAAGATTAAGGACAAACGCGTGCGCAAAAGGACCCGAAAACTTATGAAGAAAGTCAGGACCACGTGATGGGGTGTGACATAGTGAATGTGTGTATCAATAGCGTAGGTGTTAATAGCGTAGGTTTTAACAGCGTAGGTGTAGCTTAAGCTTGGACTGAGCTGTTGAGAACAGTTGGTGCCGTGTGTGTCGTAGTGCATATGTGTTGATAGCTTAAGTTGTAGCATAAGTGTTAATAGCGTAGGTGTAGCTTAAGCATGTGTACCCGTGGACTGGGCTGTTGACGACAGTTGGTGCTGTGTGTGTCGTAGTGCATATGTGTTGATAGCTTAGTTGACGACAGTAGGTAACGTGTGTGTCGTATTGCATGTGTGTTGATAGCTTAGTTGTAGCGTAGGTGTTAATAGCGTAATTGTAGCATAAGCATATGTACCCATGGACTGAGTTGTTGACGACAGTTGGTGCCGTGTGTGTCGTAGTGCATGTTTGTTGATAGCTTAGTTGTAGCGTAGGTGTCACTTGAGCATGTGTATCCGAAATGTATCTGTTGCGATGTCTGTAAATCGTTCTGTTGCGGGAAATCGGGTGCGGAGGGACACAGCTGCCACAGGTGTTGATTGATTCGTCCGCCAAACTGTGTTTTTAACTCTCACACATCTGATACGCCTACCTACTGATTAACATATATCTGAGATATCTACCTACTGTAGCACATTTCTGATATGTCTACCTACTAACTAACACATCTGATATGTCTACCTACTGTAACACATCTGATATGTCTACCTACTGTAATATACATCTGACATGTCTACCTACTGACTAACACACACCTGATATGCCCTACCGCGCAGATTCAAAAAGGTTCTTGCTATAGTGTGATCGGCTGAAAGGAGAGATGCGTGCTAAACAATCCACCGCAGCGAGCGAAACGGTACGCAATGGTTGGCATGGCAACATGGAAAGCGAAATGAAATCGAATGAAATGAAATAAATGCGATCAGATGTCGTTGCCTTCGCACCGAATGGCCCAGCTGGGATCAGAGAGTGTGTCTACGACCACACAATACACACACACTCGTCAATGGAATGGGCTGGCAGGTGCTATGCTGCACCTCAACAGATGTATTAAGGACCGCTTTGGGCAGGAGAAGACTGAAGTTACACAAGCTTATACCATAGGCAGCTCTAAGAAATCAGTCAGTGGAATGGGTAAACATGTCAAAATAAGCCAAACACAAGCTTATACCATGGGGCACTAAAGTCCGTCTACCTGATATGTCTACCTACACAGATATGTCTACCTACACAAATATGGCTACCCACGACGATATGGCTACCTCTACTCTTCAGCCGACAGATACAATATGGGTGTGTGTGAGCGATACAGCTCCAGTGCACCTGTAAACACAACGGTGACAAAAAGCTGTGTGCGTTTCTGCACGGAGCCTACACTTTACTAAAAGTATGGTGTGATATACCTACCTACACGTACTGATTGCATTGGTAGCGTATACGGCTGTTCGAGATACTTGGACGAGTCGAATCGCACCGCGCACTGTGTGTACAGCGATGAAGACATTAGAGGGCCTCTCGTCAAACCCTAAAACCTCTTTAGAGTTTTAGGGTTTAGGCTAAAAACCCTGACCCTATGCTAGCTACACAAAATGGGGGCTCAAATGAAAAGAACCCCCCGCCCCTCCCCTATAGACGTAGGTCACTTAGGATCAACAGAGAGGCTGGGTTACTGTGCGTGCACCTGCACTCGCAAACTGTGGACTCACGAAGACGGTACAAGCTCACCTGTATCTGTCAATAGCTGATCTTTGGCTTGGACTTAGTATGATCTTTGGCTTGGGCTTAGTATGATCTTTGGCTTGGACTTAGTATGATCTTTGGCTTGGACTTAGTATGGCGAAATAGCTGTCACCACCTGTGTCTGTCAATCTTAGAGCACCTGTAGCGTGCGCTGTGGTTGCATGCCATGGGTCGGGGGGGGGGGGTGGTTTTTATATGCATATACATATAAACCGTATACATGAATATGGATGGAGATATAAGTCATATGCATATATGGATCGAGATATAAGTCATATGCATTAATATGGATAGAGATATAAGTCATATTCATGGATATGGATAGAGATATGTCATATGCATGAATATGGATATATATACAAATTATATGGTTATAAGTTAACCCATATGTACATAATATATATACGGGTATGTGCAATCCTGAAGCCCATGACCAGTCATTGCGCAGGTATCTCTGATACTCAGTGCTCTCTCGGAGTGATGTGATGCTGTGGCCCACAGTGTGGGTGGCAGCAGCGAAATCCCTGAACCCTAAACCCTGCGAGTGTAAGTGTGTGTGCGTGCTCACTGAGACTCTGAACCCTAACAACCCCTGCGAGAGAGTGTGTGTGTGTTCGCAAAACCCTAAACCCTAGCAACACGTGCGAGTGCGTGGCGGCGTGGTCAATGAGATACGCAGATATGTTGTGAAGGGCGACTCAGTAACCAAATAAGGAAGCTGTGCGTGCGGTCAAGGCTGGTTTAAAGCAACTGGGAGGGTGTAGTCAATATTAAATACTACACAAATAGGACAGCTATATTTACCTAGATAGATCAGCTGTATTTGCAACCAGCATAAGCCCAAGTGGAACACCTAACCAACCAAACAATAGGTTCACGGCACCCAAAACCTTATCAGTTGGCAGATATTAACAAAAGACTCATATGACTATTGGTGATACATGGAAGATTCCCTTATGGCTTAAGGTTGTAAATAGTCAATTTCATTTGACTATTGGTTATATATAGTAGATTCTATTTGGCTATGGCTATATATAGTCGATTCCATTGTTCTATTGGTTATATGGTATCATATTACACAACTTAGTACAGGACGAGCTATTTACGCCCTTCACTCGCCAATTGGCTGATAGAGACAGGCGAGTCCGTATCTACACATCAACCCTAAAACCCTGTGCCCTGTGGCGAATGAACAGCGCTCATACGACCAAACAGCCATCACGAGAACACACGGCAATAGGTGGTGTGCGAATGTGTGACCGCGTCGGTGGTTTAGTATTTTGAAACTCGTCTCCTTAGCAACCCACAGAAGTGCTAGTGTGTTCATTCTCGCACACAGACGTCTTCGCGTGTTTATTCACATTGTTTATTCTCCATAGCATCCCACAGAAGTGCTAGTATGTTCTTTCTCGCACACAGACGGTTGCCATGGTTACACAGGACTCACTGCATGTACCTACCAGTCGAAGGGTGTTGCCTGTGTATATACAGCACCTCATATCCAACATAAATCAAGTCATACCCAGTCTTGCAAGCTTGACCATCTTTTCGAGTGTTTCGTAGATATACGTACTGCGTGCTATATCTGTAGTAGGGGCGTGCGGTCGCTACTTGTTGGTACCATCCATGCAGCTCTATTTTAGGATATGTCCTGCAGGATTTGGGCTGGAGTTATACTAGTCTGTCTGTGAAAAATACTTTAGGGCCATTTGATATGTTTGGTTCGTATACTCGATAGCGCAGAACTAAATATAGCTACGTATAAATTGTATTTCAACCATAACTACATTTTAATAGTAGAAACAATATAGCTAAACAATATTTTTTCACTAAATATAGTACATATTTATTGAATAATAAATATAGTGACATGATAATTGTATAACCAATACAACTACATGTTAATTGTAAAATATATATAGCTGTGTTATTAGTATAGGTGATATTTCTATTATATATAAATATATGTATATATATAAGTATATAAATATAAAAATTATATAATATATATGATAAATATAAT